GTTGCCTGCTGCCTCGGTCAATGGCTGCGCTAAAGTGCATCTGATGAAATCATTCTTGTCCAGAATAAAGCAATAGATACACCCGGAAATGCATGCATATGTACAACAAAAAAAATATCCATGATCAGTCTAGTATCAGACGATCTAATGCTTCCTTTTCCCGAATCCAATTCTTGTATCCGCTGGATCACAAGTAGACCCAACCCTTTCATCACAGGACCAGATAATGCCACCTAAGTCACCATATATATAGTACCACCTCTAGCATCTTTTTTGAACCATCCGACAGTGGCATATACAGCCACTATGCAAGTGTATAGGCCCCCCACCTCATCTATGCAAGTAAGCATCCCCGCAAACCCAACATCATCTACCCAAGTCCCCTTACCACCAACAGCCAGAGTCCAACCCCAAAATATGTATATCCTACCGCGACAACTTCTTCTCTCTGATAAAGAAACTACTAATCAACGCACAAAACACAACCCCAACCAAGAATGCGAAGCCCTTATTCGTGGCCCAGCCATAACAGCTACGAACGATCTTCCCGGTAGTCGGATCCAGCGTCTTAATGAAGTCGAGACTTTGACGGACGCCGTCGACGATCTTATCAATGTCTTTGCTGTCGCGGAGGGCATAGTGCAGGCGTTCGCGGAGGAGTTGCTGAACGACTGTGGAGGAGAGGGAGAGGCCGATGACGGAGCCGAGGGAGCGGAAGAGGTAGGAGCAGGCTGTCACGACGGCTTGATCTTCGGGTGTGGAGTTGGAGACTATTAGGGTGAGGTTAGTGAGTCGGGTTGTGGAACTTATGGAGAGTGAAGTGGGAAAGAGGCTTACTGAGACTGATTAAGGTAGAAGTTACACCGATACCGTTTCCAAAGGCGCAAGCGACCATGCCTAGTACTAGGACGGTGATGTTCTCGGTGACCGCACCAGAGGCCATGAAGATGGTGGTAAGGCCTATGGTGAGGCCTGTGTAGGCGGCAATGGTGAGCCAGTAGAATTTGCCCGTCCACTTCATGATGTAGCCGGCGAAGAGGGAGCCACTGACGCCGGAGATGATGCTAGGGAGAAGTCGAAGTCCGGCAACGGTGGCGGAGACGCCGTCGACGGCTTGGAAGAAGAGAGGGATGTAGAATAAGGCGGCGAGCCAGCCGCCAAAACTGAAGAAGTTACAAGCGTATGCGGCGAAGAAGGTCCGGTTGAAAATGATGTGGCCGGGGGCGAATGGTTCGGCGGCGTAGAAGACCTCTATAACGATGAAGAGAGCGAAGAGAGCTGTGGAGACGCTCAGAGAAACGATGGTAATCGGCATTGTCCAGGAGACGTTGCTGCCACGGTCCAGACCGAGGAGGAAGCCGAAGACTGCGCCGACAAGGACGATGGCGCCGGGAAAGTCGATGCGACGCAGTTTCGTCTTCCAGTGGCTGTCTTCCTGGGCGGGAAGGTCGAGCATGACAGTCACGGCGATGAAGGCGAGAATGCACAGGGGGACTTGAGCGATGAAGGCCCTGGGTTAGGTTAGAGGAGGGTGCGTAACGAGAGTGGTTGAAGGAACGTACCATCGCCAGCCGATAAAGTCGGATAAGATACCACCTGCAGAATCGGTTAGAGAGTTCCAATCGTTGCCATTGATCGAGCGTACCTAGAGGAGCACCTATGCCGGAGCCCGTCGCATAGATGATATTGATCACGCCCTGCCAAACACCCCGGTCCCGGAGAGGAACAATGTCACTCATCAGGATACTCACGACGGTGGTCATACCGCCGCCACCAATGCCTTGGAAAACCTGGCCATCGTCAGTTACTGTCTCGAAGTGAGAATACAACAGTTCAACCTACGCGTGCAGCGATGAGCTGATCGATGTTCTGCGCAAGACCGCAGAACAAGCAACCGATGCCGAAGATGGCATATGCGAACAAGAGACATGCTTTGCGACCAAAGATATCACTCAATTTGCCGTAGAGCGGCTGAAACGAGGTCAAAGTCAGAAAGTAGGAGGTGGCGATCCAGCTGGTCAGGTTGAGGGCCTCCAAGTCACTGCCAATCTGCCCATAACTGGCCATAATGATGGTTTGGTCGGCTGCGGAGAGGAATACCTGGGCGGCATTAGTATTACCGAGAAATCTCCTATGCAAATAGATGGGGAATTACATACTCCCAAAGAGATAGCCGGAATGATATACCTTAGGCCCTTCCCCGCCTCGGAAGCATCTTTGGCCTGGTCCTCCTGGGGCGGAAGAGTCTGCTCGCCGGACTCAACATCCTGACGGCCAATGTTGGGAATAGCCCCCGTGGTAGAGACATTGCTTTGGGGACCCAGCAACGGGGAGGTCTCGGAAGGAATCCTTTCTGGAGACATAGTGGGGAAATGACTCTAGAGAAGGGTAATCTCCATTACCAAGGGGGCCAGGGAGTCGACACAAAGTCGAGAAGGTGGAGAAGAAGGAGGGGAGAATGAAGCGAGGGAAGAGTCACCGATTGTCAGAGGCAGAAGGGCGAATAAGTAATAACTGCTCACTAAAGGACTCACTAACTAGACTTCCACTAGTTGGGATAATGGGCCCCTGCGCTATTATCACGTGGAGATAAGCATCTTCTCCCCACCTGCGGAAATACCGTCAGAGTCCGTCTTGATTGGTTTTATCGGCAACATAACTGCTAACTCTCGCTCGGCCGAGGCACGACATTGACGGATCATCTTCGATGGTTACACAGAATTGGACCCGCATCGGCAAGTGTCACTTGTGGATGTCGATTTTGATATGGCCATACATAGTCATCCGGGCAGGTTTGTCAGAAAAATACAGATAATGGAGAGACTTCCTCAAAACGGAAACGGGTCCGCCCGCCCCGATGGCGATGGTCTCTTCTCGGATATCGCAATCGCAACTCTATCGTCAAGGCTATCTTCTCCGATCCGGCCCCGTACGTAATGCTAACTACGCTCTCCTGTTATGATTTCGCTGGTAGTTTGCCTTATTCCACCTTCATCCTGGTCTGATAGTAAAGTATACTGCGACAACGCAATGCCAGACACCAAAATACACAAACAGGGATATGGTCATGGTCCACTCCTATACACTAAGGATATCTTCAACGACGAACAAAGACAGCGGCATAATAATCACTTAAAACACCCCAAAACAGTGCCAATACAGCACCCATCACACCCAACCCTCGTAATCATAAACGCTCTATCTCGTTACGCTACCTGCATGCAATGTACTTGAAACTCACGCTTCCGCAGCAGCCGGGATGGGCACAGGCCCACCAGGCGAGTCGGGGAAGCGCGCCGTCAGCACCTCAACACCATCCTCTGTAACCAAAAGTGTATGCTCGAATTGGGCGGAGAAGGCTCCGTCGGCCGTGGAGCTGGTCCAGTCATCGGGCCAGGTACGATCGCGGTGGGTACCCTGGTTGATCATGGGCTCGATGGTGAAGCACATACCGGGCTTGGCAACACCAACAGCCTTGTTCTTCGCGTAGTGGGGAACGTTAGGAGCGCAGTGGAACAGCTGATTGATACCGTGACCGCAGTAGCTCTTGACCACACTGCAGTCCCGGGACTTGGCGTGCTTCTCGATAACATTGCCAGGGTCGCGGAACAGCATGCCCGGCTTCACCAGCTCAATGGACTTGTCCAAGCACTCACGCGCCGTCTCAACCACGCGCACCGCATCGGGGTTGGCCTTGGCCTTGTCACCGACATAGTAGGTCTCGTTGATGTCTCCGTGGAAACCGTTGTGGTACAGCGTAACGTCAATGTTGACAATGTCGCCGTCCTCGAGGGGTCGCTGGTCGGGAATACCGTGGCAAATAATCTCGTTGATTGACGTGCAGACCGACTTGGGGAAGTTGTAGTAGTTGAGGGGGGAGGGGTAAGACTGTAGCCAATCGCATCAGCACCAGACCAAGTCACCACTAACCATCATAACTCAATATGCCCGGAAAAGCACTCACTTCACGCTCGATACAAGCCTTGTGAACCACCTCATCAATGTAATCGGTCGTGACACCGGGCTTTAACTCCCGGGCGGCAATATCCAGCACCTCACGGGCCAGACGACACACCTTGCGCATGCCCTCCTGTTCCTCCTTGCTCAGGATCTTGATGTTGTTGCGGCCAACGAACTTCTGCTCGGAACGAGGAATGCCATCCTTGGCGTAGTCGGGGTGGGGGATGGTCTTGGGGACGGTTCGCGGAGCCGACAGCGGATAGACAGGGCGCAGGTTGCCGGCAAATTGGAAGGCGGGGAAGGGGTTGTACAAGCCGGTTGCTGGATCTGGTTCAGAAACTACTTTAGGAGTGAAGAGGTTGGCCAGGAAATTACTCTTCTTGTGGATAGTCTTGTGTTCGCTCTGTATCGGACCAGTCAGCATTCGCAGATCACCTCGAAAAGCGTTCAAACCCACGTGAGCCGGATGGGTCACGTAAGGTAGCCTACCCAACTCCGTTTGAAACAGTCCTGCGAGCAGAAGAAGCTATCCGTGCCCGCCTTGAGGCATGTCGGACACTGCAACGTGCCTGCGTTCTTGTCACAGTCCAGCCCCATGCATTTCCGCGTTGCGACTTCCGCCATTTTGAGATCGAGCTATATCGCGAGTGTAAGAGAATCAGGTAAATGACCGCTAGGAAAGAAAGAATCGAGAAAAATGGTCGCCGAAGGAATATAAGTTGGGCTAGAAGGGAAAAAATGGGACAATCCCCCGCGGATGGGCCTGGCGTGGCGTGGCGCTTATCCGCCCGGTCATTTCCAGGCACTCCATTCCCGTTTTTGGGTTAGTGTGGGCTGGTTGCCCCTAGCCTCAACTGGACTAGTATATCCGGTCTTACCCTAAGTAGGCGCCAGCAAGCGCGCGTAACCGGCGTCAAGGGTCCTCAATGGGACATGCTCGTTGGTCAATCAGTCCCGATGCTTATCGGCGGGGGGCGGCTAGAACAAACTCCTGTTGGCCGTAAAAATGTTCCACAGACCCACCGCCATATGGAAGAAAGAAGGAATGCGTGTGACGCAGCTGTCAGTTGCCATTTCAATATCAATTTAAGCTCGGCCGATCTGCAGCTCTTTATACTACGCAGACTCGGGATCATCCTCAAGGCTCCAAATTCATATCAAGTGTCCAGGTAGACTCTCGATCAAGGACTCCCGTCAACATGGCGGAACCGTCTGCTGGACGACAGAAAGTGGTCATCGTGGGTGCTGGCCCGGTGGGGTCCCTGGCGGCTCTCTACGCTGCAGCTAGAGGCGACGATGTTGAGATGTACGAACTACGCGGAGGTTAGTCGCTATAAGCTGCCAGGTTATCCTGGATATCTTGATTCCCTTGCCATCCGACAGGTTTCGGTGATTCTATCATCATCGACCCCGCATCATCCTGATGACTCGATCTCTATCAAGAATGGGGCCGTTCTCACACTACATGTTGATTTACAGATCTGCGCGATCCAAGCACGATTCCTCTGAACTTCACCAAGTCCATCAATCTCGCCCTCTCCGAGCGGGGCATCACTGCCATGCGGCAGGCCAACCGAGAGGAACTCATAGAGCGCATCCTCGCCGACGCCATCCCCATGCACGGACGTATGATCCACGGCCGAAGCGACGGCAAGCTCTGGGAAGCTGCGCAAGCTTATGATGTCCACGGCCGAGTATGCCTTCACTTTTCTCAGCCTCAAACGGTAATTACTCATCTAATCTTGACCCTTAGGCCATCAATGCCGTTGACCGCGGCACTCTCAACAATGCCCTCTTGGATGAACTGTCGCGCACGCCAAACGTCAAGATGTTTTTCAACCACAAGCTCACCGGTGCCGACTTCCGCACCAACCGTGCCTGGCTCGAACGCCGCACTCCGGGCACCGCTTACACTCCGGAATCAGTGACCGAGATTGAAATCACTTTCGACTACCTCATCGGTGCCGACGGCGCCCACTCCGCCTCCCGCTATCACATGATGAAGTTCGCCAGAGTAGACTATCAGCAAGAATACATCGACGCGCTTTGGTGTGAATTTCGCATACCCCCACACCCGGAAACAGGAGACTTCCAGATCTCTCCCAACCATCTACACATTTGGCCGGGCAAAGAATTCATGTTCATTGCGCTTCCATCGGCTGATAAATCCTTCACCTGCACGTTATTCGCACCAGCCTGGCACTATGAGAAACTGGAAAAGAGCTCACCGCAAGACCTTGTGACCTCCTTCGATTACAATTTTCCCGGCGTCTGTCCCAACTTGATTTCGCCTGAAGCCCTATCCCAGCAATTCACCGAAAACCCACACCTTCCTCTCATCAGTCTGAAGTGTAAACCACACCACTTCGGCTCCAGCGTAGTAATAGTCGGCGATGCTGCGCACGCCGTCCTGCCTTTCTATGGACAGGGACTGAACGCCGGACTTGAAGATATCCGCGTTCTCTTCTCTTTCATGGACCAGTACGGCGTCTATGACGACTCTATCAGTCCTACACCTGAAGCTCAAGCCTCTGCCCGTGCCGCAGCATTGCAAGCATACACCAACCAACGCACGGCCGATACATGGGCCATCAACGACCTGTCCAAGCAGAATTATCTGGAAATGCGCTGGGGAGTCAAGAGTCCCGTCTACAAGTTGCGCAAGACGGTGGAGGAGACACTAGACCGCTATGTACCGAGCCTGGGATGGCAGACACAGTATTCTCGTGTAAGCTTTAGTAACCAACGGTACTCGGAGGTGATTGCGTCTGTGAAGAGGCAGGGGAAGCTGTTAGGTGTTGCTGGGCTGGGGTCGGTCCTGGTGTCGGTGATGATCGGGGCTGGGGTATTGATGAGATGGCCGGAGAGGTTGTCGTTGGGAGCTGTGTGGAGGACGTTGTTTGGAAGAAATTGAGGAAATCCTCCGTATTTGTCTTTTGTTTGAGCTTTCTTTGCGTTATAACAGTATGTTATGTAAGTATAGCCGATGTTTTTGCTGCAAGACCCGACTGCATGCAATCATAGAATGACGCCAAAAGCACGTAAATCTGCATGATAAGTATAGAATATGTCATCTTAACCTTCCTCCTCAAATATATCAAAATCTTGTTTACCCCAAAGAACAGAACCACCAACTCCACTCGCAACATCCGCACCAAAATGGACCCCCTAAGCCAGCTTCCATACGAGCTCCTCTCCCTAATCCTCGACTACTACACAGCAGACTGGATCACCCTCGAAAGCCTCATCCAAATCTTCCCACCACTACACGACCTCTTCACCACCCCAGCGCCCCCCAGCACCTCACCAAAGAAACGATCACGAAGATCAGCACGAACATCACATAAAGCCCACCCCGAAGCCATACGCATTGCCAAATGCACCCTCAAAAACAACCCCATCATGTCCGTTCAACTCCGTCGGCACTTTAACATAATCACCAAACTACGTCAATCCTCCTCACAACCACCTGTCAGTCGCACCATCTGTTATACTACACTCATATCAGGAGGAGATGATTCCCCCCTCTCCTTCAATCCACCACCAGCCCACACAACCCTCCTCGAAATGATCACCCTCGCGGCCAACATCCAGCGTCTAGCATGCGCATGTCTATCCACCCTCCTAACCCGGCTTCGGAGCGTTCATCCGCACCGCTGGACCAAAGAACCCTAGATCCAAAGACAAGTACATCCACAGAGACAGACATGGAACCGTACAAGCTACACGACGTGGGACCTCCCTCATGGCTCGAAGAGTATCGCATTTACCGTACGTTGTGGTTTCTACAGCTGGATATGAATTGTTATCTGTTGGCAAGAAGCTGAGATTGTTCACTGATGCTCGACTTCAGAGAATGAAGGATGACTATCTGGACATAGATACTGACGACGATGAGATGGAGTTCAGGTGGTTAGGCTTAAATTATCGTGAGATAAGAACTGTTGTTGGGTGGTTGGAGGGCTTAGATGAGAATTTGGATCTGATCAAAACGGATGCAGGTACAGACACAGACTTTGACCTACAGCCGATAGGCCCGAGGCTCGCGCGTAGGAAGGAGGAGCTTGTATGTAGGCTTTCGGACTTTTTGGAGGGGTGGAATGAGAATAATAGTACTAGTAGTAGGGAGGGGGAGAGAAAGAGGGAAAGGGGTGATTATGAGTAGTGCTAGTAGTGAACCTGGAATAGTAGTAGAAGATATATATTATGATGGATTGGGTGAACCCGCTGCTGATAAAATTGGTTTGATAGCACTACTACTGCAGCTTGAATGTCTCAGTAAGTACCGTTGTGAAGTTATTTATGTTCGGTTGGGAGTTAAACACAGCAAACCATGTTAGAGATAGTACCTGACTTAGTATTTCGTTTCATGACACGAGTTAATTTGATCAGATCAGAATTGATGAAGGTTCAGTCACCAAACTAGTAAGGATACTTTGGTGGTATGGTTATGTTAAGACCAATGAAAGAAGATGCCCCTATGTGAAACAGGTAGTACAGTTATGTCGGTCACAAACTAAATGACAGATACTACTAATTATTTACTAGGTTAGTAGACTTACTCCAGAAGGAATGCTAGTGACCATCATGCACTTCCTTCTGGGTCATGCCTCAGGCTGCCCGCTGACCCCCAAAGCAGTAATTTGTTGGGTCTCGAGTCGCCCAGTTCTCGTGGTTTTGGTTGGTAGCGTTGTATTACGTATGTATTTGAAGAGAGGTAACAAGTGGCACGCCAAGTATGATGGTTCTTTGAGGAGGTCGGGGGTAAAATTGTACCTGGTTCGTTAGTAAGGGCAGTAAGAATGATAGCAGTCTGTAAAATGCCAGACTATCTTGATTGAGGCACGGGCTGGTTGAGAAGCACTAGGGGGATTTCTTTTTTACCCCTTCTGCCTCCATGCCTGAGGCCAAAATTGGCCAATTTTCGATTTCTGGAAGCAAAATGAGGGAGCCGTGACAGACTATTGATCCTGCCTGGATTTTGCCTGTAGTTTGGTTCCATGTCTTTCCGCCTCACTTTCCCCCTGCAAACGCTCGTATGGCTCTATAGTGTGAAAATAACACTGTATTCCCGCTTCGTAGAGTCCAAAAAGTATTTGTATATGTCCCTGATAAAGACACAAAGTCTGGCTGCTGACAACGCTTTATCAGTGCTAGTGGGCAATTCAAAAAAAAAAAAAAAAAAAAAAAAAGGGACCAAGCACTGAGCCAGCGCAGAGTATCATGTAAGTGTTCAGCCTGAAATTCCAACAGGGCGCAATCAACATGACATTTCAACAGCCATGTAATTTCTAGATCAACGGAAGTTGACCGCAATGCAAAAAGCAAAAAGCCACCCGAATCAGCCAAAGTAGGCTGTACAACATGATATTGAAGAAGAAACATAATGAATAGACAAATCTTCAACCCAGACCAAGGCATAAGGTTCAAAAGCTTGTAACGTATGTAACGGCACCCAAAGTATAATCTAAAGCCGAAAGGTAATCTGATCATGGAAATCCAGACAACATATAAAAAGAGACAAATAAACCCGAGGAACACACGAGAAACCTCCATAACGGCATAAAAGAAGCCCTAATATCACCATGGCATACTTCATCATCGTCAAATCAAAGGGGATCTAGTGAACCAATTTTGTTTAGAATCTCGGCCGGTCATGGCCTGAGATCATCGAATCGGCCAATCCGGTAGTACTGGGGAATCCATATCCAGGGGCCATATGTGGGACGCTTGGACAAAGTCAATCCATCCGTAAGGGTAAGGTAAAGGTCCGCAGTTCCGCTTAAACAATGGACGGGTAATCCGGATATTCCACGGGCACTGTTTGTCCTCCTTGGGAAGTCTCCTTCCTGGGAACAACCGTCCAGAGGTGCGGAGGGGTAAACCACAAAAAAAGGAGCATGGCGGTCTGCACTTGGTCCATGGGAAGGCAGGATCGTGTGGCCATAACTCAAATCATCATCATCATAATTTAGGCAAAGGCTGGCAAATACCCTAGTTCATGGGCTGGCAAATTTGACGCGACGGCTGCGTCGATCATGGATGCGTTTTTCTGTATCAAGATAGAGGCGGTCAAGGAATTCCATGGCATTGGCATCCTTGAGAATCTTGGCCACCTGAGTGCCAGCTGAGATAAGCTGAAGAACATTCCGATCATCCTTGATGGGCCGGGACTGATGCTTGGCGGCATGTCTCATCTCCAGGGAATTCTCCAGCACGGTCACTAATTGCTTGATCTGGCCATTATACAACACCCGGGCTGGGATACGACGCTTGGTCGCCAGTCTCTTTAGGAGATATACCCACTCGGTCCACTCGCGGTCAGAAGGAACTCTCACCGGTCTCTTGTCCGGTTCCAGTGGAATCGGAAATTGATACTTTGCAACAAAGTCAAAGGCACACTGTGACAGTCGGTCGTTTACTGACGAGAGGATTTGATCTTGCTCTGAGACATCTAGATTAGTAGGTAGATGAGGCAAATCCCTCCCTTGGGCTGCTATGACCCGCGGTGACGGTGGGTCTAGCAACTGATGGGGTCCGTCGAACTCGTCACGATTAGACGGCCGTCTCTGCGAGTGATACCGAGTAGCGCCTTTAGGCTTCTCCGTTGCGCGTCGACTGTTTCTTTCAATCAGGTACTCCGACGTTTCGTAGGGTCTGACTAGGTCGTAATCACGCCTAAGCGACTCCGCTGGGAGGCGAGCAGGGTGGTCCCACTCTGGGTACAGAGCTGTGGGGCGTGGCAAGGCACCTCCTGCAGACACGGGAATGGTTCCCAGTGCATGTGAGGTCACTGGAAGTCCGCTGTATGGCATAGCAAATTCCGACGAAACTGGTTTGTTGGGCTTGACAGGAGCCTGAGTATCTATGGGTCCACGCTCAATATGCGGAGGGGAGAACCTTCTAGCGCTAAGGATGAGTGACATGAGAGTCTCAGTATGACAGATTCTGCAAAGAAAGGAAGCAAAGCCGATACAAGATAGTGACAAGGTACCTTGGATGATAGATCACGGGCGCCTCGCCCGAAGTCCCGTATACGGACGGTTGTTGGGGCATGATGCCACTGTACAAGGTGAGCTTCCCCCGACGACATCACCAGGAACAAAATAAGGAGAATATTGCATTGGGGCTAACCTGTGGCGAGACCACGAATCATCACTGCTGATGGAATGTGTGCAGGAGCCGCTGCTCCCGGATGCTCGTGAGAAATAACTGAGACCTGAAGACATTGCGATCAATGAGGGTGAAAGGACCGTGGACATGAGGCTGATGATTTATATAGAAGAATGAACGGGTATACACAATGGTGAGGCAACCTCAGCCTGTTCAGTCCAGACCTTTCAGAATGGTGCCTGACAGCAAGTAGAATGGGGCGTTTTATTATAGCAAAGTAGCAGATAATGTAGGAAAAAATAAAATAAAATAAGAGGGTGGACGGCCCACGGCACCAGATAAGCTTTTAATTTCAAAGGCCGCGTGAGATATGGCAAGCTGGAAGAAATATGAAGAACTCCACTGTCAGTGGCAATAGGACTGGATTGCTCAAGGCCGGGCTCCGCTCTGTCAGGGAGCAAGCGCGTGCCGGAAGATACCTCGTACTATACGGAAAACAACGAATCCATCTTGCTTCCAGGGCCAATCGAGCCAGGTCTCCACCGTGCCTCGCCGACAGGGTTGAGGGGGATCGATTGAGCCAGAGACGTCCGGGAGAACAAGGGACGATGAAGAGCATTAAGGAAGTCCGCCGGCGCAGCAGCCAGACAATAACTCCCGGAGCTAGACGCCCTGCCAGTCTTCCGTGCAATCAGTGGAGCTGCACCAGGCATACTGGGGTACATAGCCATGGATGGACCCGGCAGTAAATCACAGCGAGACTCCACCAGCGGGACATAGCCAACTTCTGTATGTTGATCTTGCCCTCAACCGCGCATGTCAGGACAGGAAATGAGGAGTCGAAGGATCCGGTGCTGCATAGGCTTTTGGGCAGCAACCGCAGGACTCGGCAGGGAACATGCGTCCGCTGGGCATAAGGACGAGAACATTACCTACTATTATTCACGGCCTTGGCCCAATTGCCAGTCAGTCCATTTGCTGATGGAACATTGCGGGTAAGGGGCTTTTGTTTTTTTTTCTCTTGGGAGGGGGGAAGTTAAAGGGAATAAAGTTACTGGGCACCGTGTCAATGGTCCCATGCTCTCCACCCACATCGACTGGGCCTTGATTGGGATCCAATTGTGGACAGGGACGAAGAAGGAGAACAAGTCCACGGCCGATGATGAAGCGGAGGTTGCAGTGGGAAAGAGAAGCAAACTGCGAATCACGGGGCGGACGGCGGGGACTGGCCTGGGTGCCTGAGTCCACCGGTCGAGGGCCAAAATAGACCCGATCTTCCTTTCCCCATCGGGACTTTGCTACCGCATCTACCGTCATTATTCTTACTCCACCCCAGATCGTTCTTTTGGCTATGCGCATATCGTTGTACTCCATGGTACTGGTGAACCGAACCATAGTCTGGCGCTTGTCCAGTCCATATAACTCCAAACTCCAACTGGTAAATATCTAGCCCTTGTCTATCTACGGATCCACCCCCACTGTCGAGGATGCGCTACTCGCATTTGCTCTACAGCTGCCTATGCTGGAGGGAAGGACCCAGTTCAACTCAACTAACACAGAGATCCGGTGTATAAATCGTGGAGTGGATCGGGAGCACACACACACACACCACGGTCAAGGACGGATGGCGGCCTAAAGTCGAGAATCCACAGGGTGGGGAGCTTCAGGTTCCCGGCCTGAAATGTCACTGCTCCTCGATGAGTTGGGCACACACAGCTGCATGTTTTGTCGCCCAAACTCAGGGCGTCCGTGTCAGCCAATACTCCTTTCCCGACGCTGACTTGATGAAACTACTTCTTCGTACGAGGTCACTGATGTGCAAACAGCAATCGAACTAATGATAGATCATGATTATTGAAACTTACCACCCCGATCTATTGAGGGGATCCTTGGCTATTTGCCTATATTATGGATACACTAAATGACCCCATCTGAGCAAACAATGTGCCGAGGCAAATAAGGGGAAATTTTGGACAAGAAGAATCCAGAAGACGAAGCAACCACGGTCTTCTCTCGTGGATCAAACCGATTACTCGATTAGATTGAACCAGCACAAGCTGTGAGACATTGCCGGGTTGCGTATGGCGTACATCATTGCGACCCAACGGAAAGTCGCTGAGGTAACCTCCCGAGTAAAGAGTGTGGATGATTCGTGGCGTCTGATATTGCCCTGAAGCTCACCCGATATTATCTCGGCAGACACAAACGCCTGGGGTGTCCTGCTCTACCCACCGTGTTTTCACAATCCCACCAGACCATGCCCCCTTCGTCCTGACTAGCATTCCTGCTACCTATCTCGTTGGTATATCGACGATAGATTAATGGGTCATGGTGATCTCAAGTCAGTAACCGGACAGCCCGGAGATAACATCGCTGGCTCATTCCAGACGCACTGCGCATCAGACTTGGTCCAAATTCTATGACTAATATCAGAAGGTCTGACGTCCTCCCATTGCACGGTGAGGTGTTGGCAATGGCAGCAGAGGAAAGTATAAATTGAGCAATACTATTGTATCGGCTACTCAACGGCGATTCTAGGAGTTCTAACAGGAAGAAGATATTCCGTACTCGCCAATATTGCATGGCGAACCTGTTGCTTATATCAGCGCCGCCACGACAGCTGAGCCATGCGTAAGGCAGCTTCATAAACCAGTGCACTAATTCGATGAACGGTCAAAGCGAGACAACCGCGACAAAAGAGACCCATGGGAAGGAGCTCACATGCACATGGATAACAGGATATTGTCAGCAGACACTGCTAGATGCAAGCAGCAGAATCTACTGGATCAGGCAGGTCGGTGTAGAGCTGCAGCAGCATGCCATGATCATTGAAGCACTCTGATTTCAAGGTGCTCACAGGCGGAGCAGTAAGCCATCGGACACTACCGGGTGGTTCTGTATGTCGATAGATGACCTGGCCAGCTGCAACTTGAGAACATCGTAGTAGTAGAGGGGTTGATCCTTGTAGATGTGCACGAAACCCTGCCTGGATACGAGAATGTCTTCCCGAGTCATTCACCGAGCTCTAACCCTGTTGCTTGGCTGTCCCTGAGGTTCGTTGAACCATAGCTAGGCGGTCTTCAGTAAACAAAGACCAGAGCAAGATGAACATCACCAGCAGCTAGAACCAACCCCTACAATGACCATCGGCCCAACCAAGCCATCATCAATAGCAGCCAGCACAAAAGATAAGAAAAACAGGCCTTCAAAATGGTAAATCGTACATGAAGTCACCTACTTACTATACAAGGTATCCATCCCAAAGTCGCGACATAAAACATACAAAGCATGGGATGAGACACAGCGCGACTGACCAAACTCCGCTATAAATGCAAAACCACAAGAATCAAAAGTAATCCATCTATCATCCTTCACTCTCGGTGTTGAGTCCTTAGCGAATACGGCACAAGACCAACCCTCCCAGCTTCTTCTCCACACATTCCCTAGCTTCCAAGATACCCCGGTCCGTAGAGATATACAAGCTCTCACCAGGCGAGCGAATACCCTCAACAGTGTTATCCCGCTCACCGCGAATCACCCGACGCAGACCAGCCACATCGATCGTCACTCGTCGTGTCGGCTTGCTAACCATGCTCAACTTGCCCAGCACGGGCTCGCTCTGCCAGTACTTCAGACCAAGCCAGAGTCGTCGGGTAGCGACATTACTTTGAGTCACGGGCTCGATGCCTTCGACCTCATCGATTGGGTTCGGGTTGCCGAGGATAGGGTGTACAGGGGGAGGAGTCGGGCCTCCGCGGACGACGGAGGAGAGGTAGCCATCGTTTTGGAGCGCGAGGGCGAGTTTCAGGTGGAGCTTGGAGTTGGGGATGGAGGTGAGGCCGAGACGGGCCTTGCAGGCATTATTCAGGTGCGAGCAGACGTGGGCGAGGTTGACGAGAGACATCTTGGAAAGAGGTTTGGCCCGGGGGCCTGTGGTGTGCGGAGGACGGGGATAAAGTGACTGGGTCAAAGTGAGCAAACTTGCGCGGCGACTGGAGCTGGTGGAGGGTTTGATGTACCTGTTGCGGCGGGGGGAGAGGATTAATGAAAGGTCACTCGAATCTCTATCGATTCAATCTAGAACAGCAGCAGCAATGGTCGGATTTGAGGTCCCGCTGGCAGACAATCTCCGATGATGCGGAAGCTCAGATGAAATTTTCGGAGGAACATAAACGCGGCGCCGATAGGGTTGCCTGCCTCAGGCACGAATGTTTCTTGTGACATCTCCGGCGGCAGCGAATCAGCGGCCAGAAGCTCTCTCAGCCGCTCTGTAGCCGCCGGGCTTCTGCATCACGCTGCATCGCTGCATCTTACAGGCCGGTGTAAATTCCCCTCTTGTCCAGGTATAAATCATGGCGCTGTCGTCTCCCCCCAATTCCCGCTTCGTGCGGAATTCATCTTCTTTTATTCTCTTCTTCAACACGCCCTGGTGGCCTTATCGACGTTGATCGCCCATTATGCCGCCGTTATCGGGTGAAGAGCGTATACTGACTGTGTGAGTAGCGCTACCCCGCAAATCTCTCAGCTGCTGCTGCTGTATCACATCTGGCTGCCTGGGGTTGCTAACCGCCGTGTAGCTTTGCGGATATCCATTATTACTTTGCAGCGCCATGTCCGAAGCCCGTCCATCACCGGTTTGAAAAGGGCTGCTATCTATATCTATATCTTAACAGCGCTCTGCAGAAGATCAGGATAGAGGTCGCGAACAACCCAGGGACTCCGGAGCAGGATGCTTTCAATGGCGGTTAGTATTCATCTTCTTGGTCATGCTGGTCTATTACTAAACGCCTGTAGCTCTGGACAACATCCACCTCCGACATTCAACTAAATTCCCGACTCTCTGCACTGTGACGGTGGACGGACAGGTGCCGAGTCCACCCCAAGGCCAACCTGCATTTCCGCCGCCACCAGGCGCCATTTCAAGCGAATGGCAACTGCCTGGTAACGATTCGCCGGCCCTATCCCGCCTGCACACACTAGATATCTATTTCTGGACGACGGAGGACGTCAATCAGTTCCTAGATCTGGTGGAGCGTCATCTCTCGCAGTCACAAATCGAGACAGACCGACACCCCTTTCCACCTCCACCACAAAGCACCGTCAGTTCTGTTGTGCAGCAGCTGGAAAACGTAGCCATTACCGATCCTGGCTACCAGAATGGACAGACCCGCAATTCTCAAGCCGAGGTTGTGTCTAACCCCGTGCCTAGCTACCAAGCCATCACACCACCGAGCAACCTCCCTCCTCCCCCTCCACTAGGCGGCTTAGCTACAACTGCCCAGCCAGTCATGCCTGGAATTTATTCCGTAGCCAGCGAACAACAGGATACTACTCCGTCGGAACCAACTCCCGCCCATCTACCCTACAATCCCGCTGCACCCCCAGCACCAGAGCCTATCAGACACCGAGAGAAGACCCCTCCGCCAGAGGACGCTGAGACAGGAACCGGCCTTGCAGCTGCTGCAGCTGTCGACAACGGTCTTGCTTATCCTCAGTCCTCCCAAATGCCTCCGGGGGTAGCCGCCACAGCAACGGCACCATCAGCAACAAGAGGTCTATCCGCCCCTCCACCTCCACCAGGGCCCGCCCCGCCTTACAGCATGCCTGGGAACTACGTGCCCCCTGGACCTCCGAGTGCCGGCCTCTCCTCATTCCCAACCTCCATGCCTAGCCCAGGCCTGCCCTCCTACTCTGCCTCGTTCCTATCAGGCGAGAGCCTCAGCCATCCCATGGGTACAAACCAATCACTCCCAGGGCCACCACCACAGCAGCAGCAGCAGCAGCAACGCATGTCCTTCGCCCCGCCTCCCACCGATCCCAATGCGCACCTCTACGGCGGAGCAGGAGCAGGAGCAGGACCGACCCCCGGCATATACAGAACGTCAACCGACTCATCGTCGACATCTACCCCACCGATGCAGTTGTCGCTAGGCGGATATTCGACCTTCTCGTATGAACAGCAGGGACCCAAACGCAGCGCCACGGTGTCAGGGAACGAGTACAATGTTCACAACCAATTGTATCAGCCGACGGCGCAGGAGTCGATTTCCCCGCATCAGAAGTATGCCAAAGAGGCGATGGTCAAGCCGGGGGATCCGCATCGGCCGCAATATTTTGTGAAGAGTGCGTATAAGGTGGAGCATGGGGTGAATCGGTTCTTGAGGAAGTTGGAGAAGAAGTTGTAATCACCTCCTGAAAGGAACTTGACGTTTGAATTGTTATGGCATGATGACGGTTAAGGGTCTGTTTATACTGGCGTTGAAATGCTTCTACATAGTATATCATCTGTCTTACACGTTCGATTCCACAGCGATTAATTCCATTCCATACATGTTCACGTTCACGTTCACATTTCTCATCAATCCATCAATCCATAACATACAACCACCCCAACAAACAATCAATGAACAATATCAATCAGTTCCTAACCCCTAACAAACAAACGGGTCCCTCTCCCCCTCCCTCCACCTCCTAAACTCCAACACCCTCTCAACCCTCCCCGCGACCTCCTCACCCCAAATACTCTCCACCCACGCAAACATCAAATCCACACCGGCACTCACACCAGCCGAACTCCACACCTCTACACCATCATCTCCCTTCGCACCCCCAGCAGACTTATGAACCACCCACCTCGCCTCCCTCACCCACTCCACGCGGGGAGCATCCTTAACCACACTCTCCCAGTCATTCTTATTCGTCGTGGCCCTCTTCCCATCCAGCACGCCCGCCCTGGCAGCTAATTTCCCACCCGTACACACAGTCAACAGGTACTTGAGGGACGGGTAGACGGAGCGGATGTATTCGATGTGTTGGGGGAGCGGGGCGCGAGTGCCCCAGCCTCCGGGGATGAGGAGGACGTCGAGCGGCGGGGCAGAGGTGAGGGTTGCTGTTGGGAGGATGGATTGGGAGAGGGCGTTGGGGAGGGAGGGGGGAGTGTGGATATGGGGAGAGGGTGGTGGAGAGGAGGGTTAGGGATATGGGTGGAGTTGGAGGTGGGGAGGTGGATGGGGTGGAAGGAGGGGTGTTGGTGTTGGAGTTGGTGGACCAGGAGAGGACGTTGAGGACGTCGAGGGGGCCGAAGACGTCGAGGGCTTGGAAGCCCGGGAAGAGGAGGACGCCGATGCGGAGGGGTGGTGGTGGTGGTGGTGATGATGTAGTTGTTGTGGTGGGAGAGTCTAGGGTTGGTGGTGTTAACGTCAGTGTCAATGGATGGAGGTGATAGTTGGGATGTGGAGGGGAGCGGGGGAGGGAGGGGATGTACCTGTCATAGTGGGGTGATATTTGACGAGATTGGGGAGGAGGTATGATGGTGATGTGAGTAGTAATTATGAGATAGATAGGATTCAACGAGTGAGTGATAAAGAGGGTAGGTCACGCCTATTATACTCCACTGCTCACTGTTTCTGTTGCTGTTATAATTACCTACTATAGAAGGAAGTTCTAGAATAAACAGGTACAGGCACGTGCTATTCTGTTCCGTGAATCACCGCTATCAATTATTCTAGAGCAGAATTGAGCATATTTATTCACCGGACACATACGTTCAATCTGTATGTCCTCTGCATTCGGCTGAGGAGTCCATTAGTCCATAACAGGGTGAGCAGAATATCTACTTGTGGATAATGTGTTGTTATCCATCACATGGTAAGCTGATCTTAAATCGGATCGAATGGCATTCGATTTGGAGTCAATAAGAATAGAATCAGTAATTTGAGGTGGAGAGAAGGCAGATTCCTTTCATGGGCGAAGAAGGATCATACTGCTGTACCGTGTAGGGCGTGACATGCAGTCGAGCGCATTATTAGTAAATATGTGCTCGTCATTCTCCCAAGGTATAAGCTGTGGCGGTCTAGAACAATGCACGCTGTAGCTGTGTTCTACTTGGCCGTTGGCTTCGACGTGAAGGTCTATCATAATAATATAGGTAGAATATAGTACTGCGGCTACTGGCATGTTATGATAAGTTAACAAACTATCATTTACTGAATACCAATAATTTACACCAAAGCATAAAATAAATCAAGGATAAGAATATGCCAGAGGACCCAGTACTATGCAAGATGCAGTACTCCGTACACATCGCTAAGATCACATCCGAATCAACTCCACCTGCAATGCTCCGACATGCACGTCGTCGGTCTTGTTCGACTGTCAACAAGGGGCTTTCCACACCAAGATCCCGAAAGATAACCCGAGACCAAAAGGAAGACAGAGAAGCCAAGAAGCAGAGAAGAAGGGTAAAGCCCAACAATAAAATCAGTATCAAGAACACGTGGAGACAAGCATATGTACCTGGTCGCATCACGATTATCAAGGGTATAAAAAGATATGTCACGAGAAAGAAACAAGAAGAAAATCTATTTTAACTGGTCAAGTGCTCCGCAGAAAGTCAGTTGAGAGAGAGCTTGCCCATGTCAACATCAACCTCGCCCGACTGGGCCTCGACAACCTCAGGAGCCTCGGCGACAACCTCAGTAGAAGCTTCAGTAGATTCCTTAGCAGGAGCTTCGGGCTCAGAGACCTCCTTAGTCTCGGGCACCTCAATGGCTGGCTCTTCCGCCGGCACGGTGGCCTCAGCAACGGGCTCAGTTTCAGCAACCGCAGGGAGGTCGGTAGCTTGTTCCGCAGCAGCTTCAACAGCCTCGGTAGCATCGACTTCAGGGGCAGCCTCGGCGACGGGAGCGGCAGCTTCAGCTTCAGGCTCGACAGGGGTCTCAACGGGCTCCTGCGCGGGAGCTTCCTCGACCACCTCGACGGGCTTCTCTGGGATAGCAGGGGCCTCAGAAACGACCTCCGCCGGCTCCTCGGCCTTCGCCTCAGGCGCAGGCTTCTCCAGCGGCTTGCCTTGCTCGACCTTGGTCGGACGGGAAGTGCGGGTATCCAGCTTGGAGGGAACTCGTCTAGGCGCCCGGGCCGGCTTGGTGGCCCGCGGGGGGCTTTTGACCTCAACCTTGTCGTGCGTCTTACTAGCAGAGCTAGCTGTGGGGCGCATCATGCGAGCCAGGAATCCCTCGTCAACCGGTCTGGAACTCGTATTGCTCACACGGGAATGAGGGCGTTCGTTTCCGCTAGGAGGGGAGGTACGAGACGACGGCTTGCGCGCGGTGGAAGCGGTAGGAGTGATCGCGCGCTTCTGGGTTGCAGTGGTTGAGCTCTTCAGAGTGGACGGCTTGCGGGTCAGAGTAGACGTGGTGGTCTTCTTGGCGGTAGACGAAGTCGAAGCCGTTGTCGAAGCCGGGCGAGTGGGGTTGGCGGCCGCTTTGGTGGTGCGAGATGCGGTCGAGGCTGTCGGCTTCGTCAGGTCGCGAGCAGGCACAGAGGGCCGTGCAGGCTTGGTGACGGGCTTCGTTGCAGTGTTCAGGGATGTCCGGCTCGGCTTGTGTGCGACCTTGGGGGCTTCGAGGGTCGCAGTCTTCGTCACCGTCGGCCGGACAGCCCGTGTAGTCCGAGTAGTCTTGTCCTCGGTTTTGGCGGGAGAGGGTGGGGTACGGGGTTGCGCTGGCGACTTGGAAGCAGGCTTGGGTGCCGTCTTTCCCACCTGGATAGTGGATGGTCGCTTTGTGACTGTCTTGGTCGGCGTCGGCTTGGGCGTGGAGACCTTGCTGGCCTTTACAGGAGAAGCTGGGGCTGGCGTAGCAGCAGGAGGTGCAGCAGCAGGTGCAGGGGCCTTCTCGATGACCTCTTCTGAGGGCTTTTCGGGCTCTACCGGGGCAGGCTCAACTTTCTCAGACACATCATTCTGCGATGTCTCCGAGGCCGCAACGGGCTGTTCGGTGATCTTCTGAGGGAAGCCGTTGCTGGTTGGTGACACAGACAACGGACTTCTCAAGCCACCCTCGAAATCCTCCGAATTGAAGCTCCTGACCCGAGAGGGAGCAGCAGGGCTATCGCTGCGACCACTCACGCTGCGAAGCCCTGCGACAGGATTTGGCTGCTGGGTGACTCCATCGACAGCGATGAAGCTGGCGCGCACCTTGGACAAGGGTCTGGCAGTTGCGGAATGCTCGGAGCCAGCGGGAGATCGACCGCGGGAGGGAGGAGAAGTAGTGTTGTTCTGGTTGTTCTCGAACCTAGCGAGAAGGTTGCGCACACCAGGATGGCCGCCTGTCTCGTTCATGATGGCGGCTCGTTTGGGCGATAAGTGGCGGAAGCGGGAGGTCAGCAGAGGGTATTGATCGTGACGGATGGGACTGGGGAGGGGAGAATCGGAGCTCGAGGGGTTGGTCAAAGAATCGACGGAGGTGGAGATGCGAAGAGGGGATTCAGCGCTTCGCACGGATGAAGCGAAGGAATCGGAGGGCATTCACAAGGATGAATGAACGCGTCCCAGAAAGAGGAGGGACGGGGTGACGTGAGATAAACAGTAGACCCAATCTGTTAACAACACGCGGGAGGCAAACAGTGGTTCGGTAGCGGGGGGGAAACAAAGTCAATGCAGGTGAGACAATGTAACCGCGGTGGACACAACCATGGTGGACAAAGAAGGGATTGGAGTGAGGAAGCTGTGAATAGAATGAATGAATGGATGAATGGTAGAGGGTGACGAGGATGAGTAGGTGAGAAGAGAGAAAAAGAGGGAAGAAGGAGAAGAAGAGGAGGAGGAGGAAGAGGAAGAAAGAGAGTCACTTCCAACTAGAGAGAGGGAAAGTGGAGAGAGAGAAAGCAACGAGGCCCCGACGCCTGAGGCAGCGGGTTCAGGGGTCGGATCCGCGGCTTCAAGTTGATGGCGCTCCGTCTCAGATTCGCTTTCTCGTCGGTCTCTGCCTGGATGGCCTTACGTATTATTGAATAATCACCACCAAGAATACCTAATAATCCCTCTCTTTCTTTTGGTGGATGCTTCCTCCCCCCTTGGCCTGATAGTCTCCGGCACTATTGACATCCCCCAGGGAATGACTCTCATCCTTTCTTTTGCGATCGACGGAATAATCGGCACCAACTCCTTGCAAAGTTCATACACAGTCAATACTGATGCGATGCTAGTGATGATCCTATTGCTGAGGTGGGATGAAACAGTCCTCTTACCAGCTGAAACCCATGCCTCGTACTACGTATACTATCATTCTCATCACAGCATCATCAATTCAATTGACTGTTTGTCATGGTCACCATGGAGCCCCGACTGGCCGGGACATTTCCTGCAATCTCCTGCACTTCCCCCCGATCGTCTCCCTTTCCCCCCACGCCCCTAAAAAGGCCAGCTTGCAGTTCCTTGCAAGTTGCGACACAAATTTAGCGAAACCTTGGTCGTGCATCCCGATTGTCCCAAACCTTAGTTCACATGCTGGCCCCCCCCCCTCGATCTTGCATCCCTTCCGGTGGCAAAATCCAGTTTGATCATCCCCGTCAGCCCAAAAATGGTTGGTGTAGTAATTACTCTGTAGAGAGAGTTATTGCTGTGTTCGTGGACAGGTTCCTGGATGACGCATTCCCCTAGTAAACCCCTGGTGGATCAGGGATGGACGCGAGGATGCTAACGGCGACCAATTTCCCTCTAGTGCCATTCTAGTCCTTCTAGAGCATTCATGGAATAATCAAAGGATGCTGTTAGTGCTTTCCTTTACTTACCCCGGTGGGTTCAGATGCACTGACCTCCTCACTCACACACACTCTCTCTCCCTTTCCCTCGGACATGACACATGGCAGTAGTCCCAGCTTGTGGTCGCCCCGCCTGCTGACTGCAGTCCCCCATGGCATGGTTGTCTCCCTGGTCGTCAGCAATATGAACAAATCAATTGATTTAGTATTGCATATAGAGTAAAACAAGGGTTTCCGCAGGGCCTTGCCCTGACGCAAACAAGGGGAGACGGGGAAGCTGTGCCAGACTTCAGTAAAAAGATCAAAGCGCCCCCACCCGCGGGATGAACCTTATAACGCAGGGAAGTCCGACTCAACCATGGAAACGCCCCAAAGCTGGCCGTCAGACCGCTGTTACCAATGCCCTATTTCCACTAGATGCACTGATAACCGGAAATACAATCATCAATAGATAGAACATAAGCAAGGTCTTTAGCCCACTGAGGTCCAGACTTAGGCGAAGTATGTTGTTGTTGCGGGTAGGCCTCCACTGCGCGTGACTGACACGCTGGGCTACAGGCGTCTGTCAAGCCAATTCGTTTGGATAAAGTATGCGGATGACAGTCAAGAATGTGAGCATGATTCGAACCAAGGAAGTTGATGCATCTCTGGGGAGCTTGATCATTTTGCGTAAAGACGTATCATCATGCGAACTTGCCTCGTCGGCACCACCAGGTAGTATCTGCCAAAGTATTTGGCTACTTGGTGCAAGGTCAAAGGCAACTGATCCAGGTGTTGTGGTACCACATGTACTTGTAGCATCTGCTTATATGCAAGCAAGCGTTGGTAAAAATTGTCTTGGACATGTCACAAAATCCCAACTTGAACGCTCTTATCCTATCGGTGTTGGTGAAAGTTGACCTGATGAGCTCTGGCACACCTTGTTGGGTCGTGTGTCGTGCAACACTACTGCCCTCGTTCGCTACTAGTTACAGAAGCACAACAGACAACTATCAAATCATTTCATTATGTCCAAGGCTTGATGTACATGACTTAGCAGACTATCCCAATGACATGCATAGCTAATCAAAATATATTGCAGACTTTTTCATGCATAGCGAACAACGTTCCAATGTTTCTCATGTACCAAACGCACTACAGCAACTCAGCGGGATCAGAAGGCAACGACTCTGGCATGATACTAGCATCTGCATCTTCCAGGTCGTCGGTGAGTATCCCTACCCCACTGTCTAGTCGCTTACGATGTTTCCCCCGGCCAGCTTCCACGTCGACAAATCTTGTCATACTGACCGGTGTGATGGGCTCGATATTAAAGCCATCTGATGATTGGATCTCATCCGAACGTAGCTCCCAGTTCGCAGTGCGAACTCTGGCTTTCCGTCGCTCGCTATTGACGGTTTCCTTCATAATAGCAAAAGACCGCGCTTGCTCTGCAGCCCATTTATCCAGCAGGCTGTCCCTTGCTTCAACTTCGAGACGCAGCTGCTCCTCCAGGCCAGTGTTACTCCGGCGAAGTCGGTCAACATCTGATTTAGCTTCCTCTAGTGACGTGTTGAGCTCCGAGACGAGGACATTCATCGACCCTACTTCTTGTTCAAGGCGCTGTTGCTGCTCCGTTGCTTCTTGCTCCAGATCCTGTATCGTTTGCTGGCGCTCAGCTTCGAGCGACTCAATTTTAGCTGTGAGGTCACGCACACTGGTGCGATTTTGTTCAAGGGCCTCCTCTAATTCCCGGATGCGAGTTTCCCGCTCCACAGCGGTTGATTCGGCAGTACGAAGGGAACGGGCCTGCTCTTCCAGCTGTTGCTGTAATTCCTCCACTTCCTGTTTGTGTGACTCGTTGTTCTTCGCCTTATCATCCTCCAGTTCAGTTACTAGGGCCTCTAGTCCTTTGACTTCCTCGTGGTACTTGTCGAGGGCTGCATTCAACCGCTGAATGCTGACGGCTTGTTCCTTTCCTTCGCATTCAAGCTCCTGCATACGCATTCGTGTGTGAAGCATGTCTCCAGCGGAGGAGGCAATAGACTCTTCCAAGTCATGAATTTTCTTCGATGCTCCCTCATATCGAGCCAACAGGTTATCGAATTGACCCCGAAGTGCGTTCTCCCGGCCTACGGAGCCTTCCAGTCGTTCCTGCTCGTCCTCAAGACTCTTGACGAGTATCTCAACCCGCTTTACCAAAGCACCAAGAGTGGCTTTGCCATCACTGAGGCTAGCATTGGCGGTTTCGCCAGGGACTGCGCGTTCGAGTTGAAGGCGCGCGGCGCGAAATTGATCGCGCATCGTAGAGATGATTTCCTCAGCGTTGTTCCCAGGGAATCCGAGACCCGACAACTCTTCCTTAACGTTGTCTAGTGCTTGGGCGGCATCAGAAGCACGCCGCAGTGTCTGGGCCAAGGTAGGCAGAACTTGATCCAAGAAGTCGGGCGGCGGAGAGGACTGGCGAAGGAGCCCTTCAATTGCAGTTCCACTAAGCGAAGCGACACGGGCGCGACAACCGTCAAACAAGTCACGCTTTTCCTTCCTGGCAGCTGCGAGATCGGCTGAAAGCGCAATAATCTCAGCCTCCTGCCTGTAATCAGGTATGGATGCCTGAGTCGACGCATCGGTATTCGCATGTCCTTGGCTCAGAAGCGAGATGTTATCAGGCACTGATGTCCGGGCATCTACGCCTCGAATATCCGGCGAGTTTGATATAAGCATTGTATCACAATCCCATGCGCTCTCATTAATCACCATTGTTTCTCCCTCCGAGTTGCTGATAGTATCATGGTCTGTTGTGGCACCCGGAGAAGGGAAAGACAGCTGTTCCCTTAATCGTATATTCTCGGACGACACTTGTTCGATCATGGATTGTGGCGACAGCCAAGTGGTTTCTTCGCTGGATGCTATACTCTTGGATACGTCTTGATTTCGTTTGACCGAATCCAATTCATTCTTCAACGAATCTCGTTCGCGTAGTAGTGTTTGAAGTGTCTTCTCGTACTGGGCGGATTCTCTCTTCTCGCGCTCTAGATGGTTGATCTCATCACTTAGGCCTATCCGCCGGATTCGTCGTTTCGTGCGCGCGTCTAGAAGTTGTCGCAGCGGTGTAAACTGCACTACATGCTCTGAGGAGGCTGTACTGACAGCATCGAAAGCACCCATACTGCGGCGAGACCGCGGAAGAGGGGTTGAGCGCCGTCGCTGGCGACGGCTTGGGCTCCGAATCAAAGGATCATCTTCTGCGCGTTCTTCGAAGGAAGAACGTAACATGGCCGGAGTGAGGCCAGTCGAGTGGGCAGAACCATGTTGCCGCCCGGGACCTGGGTCTGAGAAGCGAACCTTCTTACTCTGGTGAGGGGTATTGCAAGAGGTGGCGGAGGTAATGTAGTACTCGGTGCGACGAGTCCTTCTAATCGAGACTGGCGTGGGAGGCTCTTGAGGCTCTTGGGGCTGTTGGCCAGATGAAGAGCTGCTTTGTCTCTTTCGTTTTGCCTGTCTCGTGTCCATGGCGATTGTGTACTGGTCCGACTGGGGTGAGTCAATTGTCGCACGATCTTCTTAGCCCCTGATTTGTTTTTGCCTGGAAAAAAGAAAGGGCTTAAGTGACACTTGGCTAAGACAATAATGAGGTTATAGGGCCGTAGACCAAACCAATAGATATATAGAGTAGTAATGATGATGGTAGTTCGGAACAACAGTTGACGGCAATCACCACGGGACTGGAGTATTGTGATTTTTCCCGATTAGGCAAGGGCCCATCGTGCCTTCCTGACGCGTTGAGGGACAGGGCCATTGCCCGATTGGGACCGCGTAAACAAACCCACCCTTGCGCCGGTCACCTGACTGTCCCGACTGCCTGTTTCAGGCTATGTTTTGCTTTGTTATTCCAAATCGTGATCAAGACAAGTTTGTTATTGAGGCACTCGCCGGATAATGCCTGCCTTGTATGTAGTATTGATAGGGGAAAGACAAGGCGTATTGTATCTGTTGTGTGACTAGCCAATAAAAGACATTATTTCCGTATCTTATCGCCCATCCCCGTGACGAGCACCAAATTGACGTTTTCCCCCTCAAC